GACCAGAACTGTTCCAAACAGAACTGGCAGGCAGCTGCCTCATCACCTGAGGATTCTGATCAAGCATAACACACACACACACACACACACACACACACAGTAAAACAATGCATCCAAAATATAAATGGTTATATAGAGAAATAAAAGAGCACAAATGAATTATTGTGTCCAGAAACATGTAGTCAAGTAACAGATAAAACAATTACACAGACTACCATGGTGGCTCATGCCATTAATTTCAGTACTCAGGAGGCTGAGGCAGGAGGATCACCATGGCTTCAAGGCCATCCTAGACTACATTGTAACTTTCAGGCAAGCCTGGGGTACCTTACCTCAAAATAAACAAATAAAATGAAAAAATAAAATAAAAGTGATGAGCAGCCACCTCGGCTTCACCTACCAGCCTTGGGAGGCAGGAGGATAACTTCAATGTTATCACCAGCTGTATAATGTGCTTGGTGCCTGCCTGGGCAATAAGATCCAGTCCTTCCCGTCCCCCCCCCCCACCTCCCCACCCCAGCCCACAAAAGTACAATTATATTTGTTTGCTTTTAAAAGAAGCTGTGGAAGTTACGACCTTTAGGTGACTTTTGAGAGAAGAAGAGGAATTAACCACACAGACAAGAGGGAGAGAGAATGTTCTGGAAGGGAGAAGATAAGCACTATTATCTGGAGGAGGTGCTTTGAGTAACACACCAATTTTGCCTGCTAGTGGGACAGTGCAGGAAGAGGGAAGAGGAAAGTAAAAGGCTCTTACCTTTCTTCAACCTTCTACCATGGAAACATCTTTGTCATCTACAAAATACACATTGGAGGAGGGGATAAAAAAACATAAAATGATCTCATAGGAGTCTGTGTTGAGTCTCATTCACAGTCACTCTGGAGAGAGAGATGTGTTACATGCAGCTGTGGTTGAATGTGCCCGGGACTACTGCAGTGTTTGTCCCTCCCTCCCTTCCATCTGTCTTTCTCTTGTTCTTGTTTTGAGACACGGTGTCCCTGTGTAGCCTGGCTGGTCTGTGTCTTGTTTTGTAGGCCAGGAAAACTTCCCTCAAACTCAGAGCAATGCTCCTGCATCAGCCTCCTGTCTGTTTCAAATAGTCATCTTAATTACATCTCTTCCTACAGAGCCTAAAGTTTCCAGCTTCAGCATGGTTCCAAGTCCCAAGTAATGAAACTACACAGACAAAAAACGGTCTTAATTAATCAGTACGGTCTTAAGTAATCAGTAATACATTTAAAGATTTATTTTTTATTTTTCTTATTTTTAATTATGTGTGCATGTGTGTGTCCGAGTGTGGGTTTGTGCACACCAGTGCAGATGCTCCAGCAGTCCAGAGAGGTGTCAGGTCCCTGGAAGCTGGAGTTATAGGTGGCCATGAACCACTTGACATAGGTTCTGTATAAGAGCAGCCCATATTCTTAACTGCTGAAACATCTCTCTAGCCAAACTGTTAATACTTTTGTTCTTCAGTCTGATAAGCTAGGATGGAACATTTAAATTTATTGTATAAATCATTTTAAAATACAAAATACCCACAACTGATGAGGCAAGAATTCAGAACTAAAGTTCTGAAACTGATATTTTGATAACATATATTTCCCATAGGTATGAACAAGATGTGTGTGACATTTCTGGTTGGCATTCAGACATACAGGGATTGTTACAATCTAAGTCCTCATTGCCAGTCCTTAACATGCAGAGCATATTAAACAAAAATGTGATAAAATCAGATTCGTGCTTGGGAACAGAACACATCCTGGCAGCCAATCGGGCCAACTGGAGTAGCTAGCTTTGGTCTTAATTATAATGTTTTTTAAAAACTAAATAAAATTGAGAAAGAATGTTGTCAAAAATATAAAGCACTTACTTTAAAATTTATTTTAAATTTATTTTTAATTTATGTGAATGCTTGTAAGTCTGTCATGTGTGTGTGGATACCTGGGAGGCCCCTGGAATTTTAATTACAGGCAGTTGTGAGCTACCATGTGGGTGCTGGGAGCTGAACCTGGGCCCTATACAAGAGCAGTCAGCCCTCTTAACTGCTGAGCTATCTCTTCAGACTCCAAATATAATACAATTATTATCTTTAATTTCTAAAAAGTCCACACAGAAAGAAGACCAGACCTCAAAATAGACAGCAACTGGCCTGGAGGGCTCCAGTCTAGATTGTACCAGGTGGTTAGCTAATCCATGAGAAATGACCAGCCTTTCTATAATACAAAGGCTTTATACTATTGCTACTACTGATAATGATTAATAGTAGTAGTAATAATAACAATAATTTAAACTAAATTTCACTAATTTTCATATAAGCATGTAAGATAATACCTCTTCTTGCTGACAGGCCTGTAGGACACTGGTGGGTGCTATGGTCCTTTTAATATTGAAGGAAAGGTCACTGATAACATATATTTTTATGCCCTTTGATTCAATGGCACTATTTATGGAGTTGGGTCAAACAGCCTATTGAGTAATTATCAAACAAAGAGCTACACATAAAATGCATGTCTTTTTCTATTTTCACCCTCTTCCCTCCTCTCCTCCTCTTCCTCCTCTTCCTCCTCCTCCTTTTCTTCTAATTTCTTCTTATTATTTCTTCTTCTTTGTCTTTTCTTCCTTCTTTTTTTTCCAGGCAGGCTCTCACTGCATAGCTCTAGTTGTCTGGGAACTTGATATGTAGATCAGGCTGGCCTCAAACTCTCAGAAATCTTACCTCTACCTCCCGAATGCTAGGAATAGAAGCATGAATTAGCATGCCTGTTTTACTGTGCGTTTTTTTTTTTTAAAGTTTATCCTACCTTTTTAAAAACAAACCAACCAAACCAAACCAAACAGGTCCATTTACTGTTTGCTAACAAACACATACATGGTAGATCCATCCAGTCTTGAAATCTGAGGGACAAAACAACCTTCCTTCGAGCCGGATTCGAACCAGCGACCTAAGGATTTCTACAGTAATCTCTCTACAGTCCTCCGCTCTACCAACTGAGCTATCGAAGGATACCGCACGTTTCTTCTAACAGAGTATCAAGTAGCTCAGACTAGCTTCAAATCCTTCCTAAGTTCGAGGATCTAAAATTTTTGATCCTCCTGATTCCACCTGGGTTTACCAATACGAACCACCCTGCTTGATTTTAGGCAGTGCTGGGATCAAACTCAGGGTTTCATGAACGCTGGATGAACACACTACCAAATGCCAAGTGCATTCTTTATAATAGAAAAAGAGCTAAAAATCCCACAGTCTTGGAAAATATATTTAGCTTATTAGCTATGCTATGAATTGTGCAGGAAAACTTACTGATTGTTTCTATGATGTACATAAATAGAAAGTAAACAGCAGAACGATATCTATCAGACAGCACTAATTAGTTCATGGTGATTTCATTTATAAAACCAGTTGTCTTTTCGTTTTTCTCTAATAAATGGAAATTCAAAATTAAATAAGGAATTGCTGATCTCGTGACTGACTTTGGCAGAGTGAAGCTCAAGATCTGTATGGACTGTGCTGTAGTTGTACCATCTTGAAGGTGGGCATCCAGTGGAATCCTGCCACCCACACTCACACGCCTGAAGGTGTCTTGTGGAAAAGATCAACGATGGAGAGCTGGAGTCATTGTGGACTCACTCTTTAGTTATTCGCAGATGTAATGACAAAGTCATTTACTTTCTGGGCTCCTATTCTTTTCCCTGTTTTGTTTCAAATACTGTTTGTGTCAAACACTCTTCCAACTCAGCATAATTCAAACAAGGTATTAGTAACATTCATCTTTTTCTTAAAATAACAAACAACAAAGTGAGTTCCAGGATAACCAGGACTACACAGAGAAGCCCTGTCTCCAAAAACAAACAAACAAACAAACAAACAACCCACTCTCTTTTGTCTTGTTCTCCGTATGTAGGTCTTGCAAGTCTGGATCTCGCTATGTAGCTCAGGCATTAAACTTACAATGACCCTCCTGACTCCTGAAGGCACATGGGTTAAAACAACTGAAGCTACATAAGTAAATTCACTGGCTGATGGCCTCATGTCTCATTTCTGTTATTCAAGCCTTCTTTCTTTTTGTCCCCGTTCCTTATATTCAGTATATTGTTCTCTTAGCAGAGGACGATGAACCCGTACTACCCGACCACCAATCTGTAGTCCACATGTTTGAAAAGCTGCCCCTTCCCCCATCCCAAGTAAATACACTCGGCCATCTGGGGGCAGGCTCCTCTAACAGCACACAGCCTTCTTCCTCCTGAGGCTTTCTATCTTTGGCCCTGAGGTGACAAACAGCCTTTTTCACCTGGTCACTGTGGCTCCGGCTCCCTTTTCCTCTGACTGTCGAAGTCGGTAGGTGCTTCACTCTCAGCTCAGCGAGCCACAGAATAACACAGCTCTCTTTGTTTCTTCTCTGTACTAGGCTTTCTGTTCCTCAAGCTCTTCAGCTCTGCCTCTCCCCTCTCTCTCACACTTTGGCAAGATTGTATGTTCCTCACTATGTACCTCCCAGAGATCACAGGCCTGAGTGTCTCTGGGCTTACAGGTGTGAAACACCATCTCCCGTCTCTCTCCTCCATTTCATTTAATTCCCTCCATTTCTACCTCTGTGACTTTATCTTCATGATCACTTCTAAACACGAATAACAAAGTATCCTACTCGATACGATTTTATTTTATTGTTTTATTTTGTTGTTGTAAATGAGGAGATTCCAAGATCTCTTCATTATCTACAGCTATGCCTCACAGTTCCCTTCTTGAGGCAATTGAGGGCTGGAGAACAGAGTTTGTTTGCTCTTTTGTGCCTGCCTGACCAGACTTACAGAAGGGTATGAGTGGTTGTTGTTGTAGCATGGACTGAAAATTCCCCTGATGCTGCAGGGGAAATACAGAGTCCTCCAGGTTGAAAGGAACTGGTGGAGAACAGGGTGCTTGCAGAGCCCATACTTACCCCTTGACCATTTCTCTCCCAGCCTGAAGCTCTTGGCCGACTCCATTGCCCCAGCAAGCTTAGAGATGGCAGTTTCTACCAACTCCTGCATCTTGGTTTGTCTGCTCACCCTCACGGTGCTACAGCTGCCCACGCTGGATTCGGGTAAGACTCTGTTCTAGTCTTCTCTTTCTTGAAAAGTTGGGAGGTCCCTATAAATATCTGTGACCCGGTTTGGCTCCTGGTGGGGACTTCCACCACTCCAGTGAATTCAAAGGAAATCCACCGGGGAGGTAGTACACACCTGCAATTCCAGCACTAAGTGGGCAGAGGCAGATCTTTGTGAGGCCCAAACCAGCCTGATCTACAGAGAAGTAGCCAGGGCATCCAGGGTTACATAGGGAGCGCCTAGTTGTTTTTTCTTTAAATCAGAGGAATTGGAACGCTGGGTGTGGTGGTGGTGCACACCTGTGATGCTAGCACTTGAGAGTTGAGGGCAAGGGGATCAAGATCAAGGAGCTCAAGGCTACACTGTGAGCTGGAGGCCATGAGATCCAGTCTGGAAAATAAACCGAACAAAAGGAATAGTAGCCAGTCGGAGTTCCTTATTTACAAGGAGACCGCTCTGTAGGTCCTCCATCCCATCTCATCGTCCCATCTGACCTTGTTTATTACAGCAGCTCCCTTCGAAGTGACTGCACCTCAGGAGCCAGTGCTGGCCGTAGTGGGCTCAGATGCCGAGCTGACCTGTCGCTTTTCCCCAAACGCGAGCTCAAAGCACATGGAGCTGCTGTGGTTTCGACAGACGAGGTCCCCAGCGGTACTTCTATACCGGGCTGGCCAGGAGCAGGAGGGCCAGCAGATGACGGAGTACCGCGGGAGGGCGACGCTGGTGACAACCGGGCTCCTAGACGGTCGCGCTACTCTGCAGATCCGAGGGGTCAGGGTCTCAGATCAAGGGGAGTACCGGTGCTTTTTCAAAGACAACGACGACTCCGAAGAGGCCGCTGTGCATCTCGAAGTGGCTGGTGGGTACAGAGGGGATGCGTCGCCTCGTCACTCCGCGTGGATACTCTCATTTTGGGAACCATCAGGTTCATTCCCCGAATCACTTTGAGTCTGAAGAAACGAGGCTGGCGCAGAGTGGGAGATGAGTGGCAAGGAGCTCAGCTAAAGGAGTAGGTTGCTGAGCGAGATGTCATTCCTGCGGTTGCCTAATTCTAATTATCTTCTGCACTTTCCCCTCTAGAATAGGATGATTCCCTCCGAGAAATATATAACATTCTTAATTTAATTTAGCTTTTGAAACAATATCTGCTATGTAGTTCTGGAAATCTTCCGGTTTCTACCTCCACAGTGTTGAGATTACAGGTGCGCACCCCCGCATCTGGCTATTAGATTCTTTTACAAGATACACTATTTCCGGTAAATTTGTATGCCAGTTTAAATTGTGTATGTTTTCACGTTTACGTAAGGTTGTTGTGAGCATCTCAGATGCTCTGAACAGCTTCGTAGTTTAATACCTAAGGATTGACACCCTAACAGAGTGGTCCGGTGCTAAACCCACCCCAAAATGGTTTTACTCATATTAATTACCCTGTAATTCCAGTTCTTGACCCACCCCAAAATGATTTTATTCATATTACTTCTCCTTCTCCTCCTCTCCTTCTCCCTCTCTGAGATAATAAAGAAAGAATACATTGAGCCCTAATTTCCCTCCTTGCTAGTGATCCAAATCAAGCAAATCTCCCCCTCCGTTTTTCCTACTGTGAAACCAGAAAGCTAAACCCAGCAAGAATTTGCAACAAGAAAAATAGATAAGTAAAAACTACTTTGTTAAAATAGATAAGTGAAAACTACTTTGTTAATGGTAAAGCATCGTATACTTATAAAGAAATGTCTACATCTAAGACTGGAGAATTAGACACAGATATTGCCTTTCGTTAGTTCTCACTTGTTTAGGTATTTAACTTGCTACTTTTGAGAAAGGAGCTGACATGCCCGACTCCACAGCTTTTAAGAAAGCTTTTAAGAAACTCCACAGCTTTTAAGAAAGCTTGAACTAGTCCTTTCTCAAGTGCTAGAATCGTCTGTACTGAACAAACTAGCTCAAAAGGATGAGCTTCCCACACCGGGAGTCGAACCCGGGCCGCCTGGGTGAAAACCAGGAATCCTAACCGCTAGACCATGTGGGAGCTGCTACACATCCTCTTCTCTTGCCTCCTCCTCCCATGTACAGGATTACAGGCAAATGAGACACCTGCTTTTTAGGTGCTGGCAAAGGAACCTGTCAACTTAACTGTACCTCTAGCTCAAAAATACATTGCTATATCTTGCGATATTTAATGTATCAAATATAACTCATGTCATTTTTAGGGAAGGGCATCTAAAATTATAATGTATATATAATATATATGTATACATATATGAATATACATGTATATATTCACACACACACTTGTGTGTGTATGAATAACTGGGAAGTGACACCCTGTAATTCCAGCAACTGGGAGATACAGGCAGGAAGATTAGAAGTTGAAAATTGACCTTGGCTACTTAGAACCTCGATGTTGTTATTATCTTTTATAAATGATAGCCATTTTCATAAAATATATCCCGTAGAACTGTGAAAAAGGAGAGGGGAGAAGGAAAGAGAGGGAGGGAAAGAAGAAAAGAGAGAGAAGGAAAGATTTAGACTAAATAGACCAGAAAAGTAGATTTATGTTAACTTTGTTGCTGCTGATTTTCTGTTGCTGTTTGTTTGATTGATTGTTTATGCATCAGGGTATTACTATGTAGCTTTGGCTGGCCTGAACCTTGCTTTGCAGACCAGGCTGGCCTAGAACTCATAGAAAGCCACCTGCTTCACCCTCTTCAGTACTCAGATTAAAGGTCCGACCATCACTTTCTCTGTTGTTATTGAGATATGGTCTTGAACTTACTATATAGTAGAGGCTGGCCTTGAACTCCTGATTCTTCTCCCTCCACCACCTGAGTGCTAGGATTGCAGTTATGCGTCTCCTGTGTTGATTTTTGTTGGGACATAATTCTGTGAGGAAAGATGAGGTTGAAACCATTTAAGAAAATTCTTGAGTCAGCATCCTAGGTAAAGGAAAGTTAAATTATCAACTACAAACTTCAAGGGAGAAAAAAACCACAAACTCTGTTCTCAAGAATATAGTCTTTTCGGGAGTAGAGGTGTGACTCAGTTGGAAGAGTGCTTGCTTAGGATACACAAAGCCCTGGGTGGGATCCCCAGCACTGTAAAAAAAAAAAAAAAAAAAAAGTTTGTGTGGCACATGTCTGTAATACCTGCATTTGGGAGGTAGAGGCAAGAGGATCAGAAGTTCAAGGTCATCTTCAGCTGTTTGAGGTCAGCCTGAGCTACATGATAATCTGTCTAAGAAGGAGAATACTTTTCCATGCACCCTAAAATATTCTAACCATAGTTGTCTCATCCCCCAAATCATGTTATACACTTCTAATCACAAAGGTCTTTCTTGATTTTAGAGCCCCTAAGCCACATTTCAGCCATTGTTCTTGCTGTTCTTGGTGCTTGGACAAGCTCCTCCATGTCTGCTCATCAGACTTTTCCTTACGTTGAAGGATGTGATCTCGATAAGGCTCCATCTCTAATAAGATATAAGACATTTTTAAATTGATCTTTCAGTCTTCATACAGAAGGATTAGGATTAGAGGAATCCTACCCAGCCCCAGTCTACCTTTCCCTCCTCTCTGTCTTTCTCAAACAAAGATTATCATGTTCCCAGGAAAGCATCCACTGAAAGATTAAGGTCAGTTTCTCTCTAATAGCTGTGGGCTCAGAACCTCACATCAGTATGAAGGTTCAAGAGAGTGGAGACATGGAGCTGGAGTGCACTTCCTCTGGATGGTACCCAGAGCCTCAGGTGCAGTGGAGAACAGCCAGTGGAGAGATGCTACCATCCACATCAGAGTCCAGGAATCCTGATGAGGAAGGCCTGTTCACTGTGGCAGCTTCAATGATAATCAGAGACAGCTCCATAAAGAATGTGTCCTGCTGCATCCAGAATAACCTCCTTGGCGAGGGGAAGGAAATAGAGATCTCCTTATCAGGTCAGTGGACCTAGTGCTGGGTTCTTATAATGACAGAGACTCAGGGCAATATGACTTGAGTCCCTGCTCAGAAGGGACATCATGGGAAAATTGTCTACATCTTCCCCTACAGCTCTTGCCTGCTTACTTGAGGAAGTCCTACCAACTTAATTAGAATAAAGATACTGAGGGCTGGGCTGTATCTCTGTGATAGAGTGCTTGCATGGCATGGAGAAGGTCCTGGGTTCTACCTCTAGGTCTGCACACACCACCTCTATGCCAGTCTTATAAAAATTCCAGAGCTTTATTCCAGAGAAACAGATCACAGAGAAGCTTTGCCTCTGAGGTCCTTCATGACTGCACCCTTTTCCTTCAATAAGCAGGAAGACTAAATTATTTTTCTGATTTGACTGTGACCTTCCTGAACATCTCCTCCCTTCTTTGTTCCACAACGGAGTTCCATATGGGTCGCCAAAGATAGCCAAATTCCTCCAGGAACTTTCATCATTTCCAATTTACTACCTGTGGTTTAACAGGAATCATTCCTTGCTTATTGGCTAATAACTCCCATTCTATCTATCTTGCATGCAGTCACCTTTCCTCTTCCTTCTTTACCTCAACCACCTCACTGATAGTTAACAAGGGGTTTCTGTAAATTTTTATTTCACATGTTCTTACCCTAACTGGCTCTTCAGTGCTTGCTTTGGCCCAGGGTCAAATCTTTCTGAAAAGCTTAGCATGAAGGAGAATTCTTGCGTGGGAGGTGGGAGGCTACAAAGAGCACTCCCATTTCTGTTCTCCTTTGGTACCAGGAGAGAAGCTGAAATTATTCAGTTTCCCAACCAATGTCCTTTCTGGTTTGTTGTTTGTTTTTGTTTTGTTTTGTTTTTCAGCTTCCTTCATGCCAAGGCTGACTCCCTGGATAGTAGCTGTGGCTATCATCTTACTGGCCTTAGGATTTCTCACCATTGGGTCCATATTTTTCACTTGGAAACTATACAAGGAAAGATCCAGTCTGCGGAAGAAGGAATTTGGTTCTAAAGGTAGGTCATAGTGTCCCCAAGGGTGTTGTGTCACAGCTTCCAGGGAAGGTTGGATTCAGGCCTGTTTGGATGCCTTCCAATAGGAAGATGCTGGATTTTAAAATTCTGAGGTTGGATGGAATTATAAACCTCCTAAAGTCACAGGTACCTAATATGAAGAAAACTGCATGTGATCCAGGCGGAGTCAGGGTCAGCCCGAGCTGTCATTATACACCTGATACTCTCTCACAGCCCAGCTTTGGGCTCCCGGGCCAATCTCACTCTGTCTCCCAGGAAGAGACTCATTATTAAGAGGTAGTCCTAAGTCCTGAGCCAGGAGAAACTTCCAGATGATTTCTTAGAAATATTCTGGTGGGGTATTTATTTACTTATTTATATACTTTATTTTGCTGGCAGCATTTCTGTTCCTGGTTTGCAGTCAGTGTTCCTGTCACCAGGGCACCACAGAGTAAACAGTGTCCCTTTATGTGTTTCTCATTCTGGTTTTCCTCCTTCCTCTTTCCCATTATAAAAAAAGCCATTGACATAATTTTGTTTGTTTTCCAGAGAGACTTCTGGAAGAACTCAGTAAGTGGTCTTCTTTTTGAGTCACAAGATTTTCTCTCTCCTACCTGTTAACCCACGACTGATGGTCTCTTTTCTTACATTCTAGGATGCAAAAAGACTGCACTGCATGAAGGTCAGTGATTCTGAGCTCTTCACTGCCTCTGAAGCTCTTACCCTAGGAGTCTCAGACCTGTGAGGCTTGAATGCAAGAACACACTGATGACCTCCTTAGTAGTAGGATAGAAACAGGGAAGGTGACAGCGAATGATCTTAGCACTCTTCATGAGGCATCTGGAGAACCACCGATGATGGCTAGCAGAAAAGTTTCTTTGAAGATACCCCATTTGGTAGTCAGTTCTTAAGTCACTCAGTAAGAGATGGGGCTGGAGAGAAGGACAGCTAGAGAGTGGCCTGATAGCTCCCCTGCTACAGCTCCAACAACTCTGTTCCATGTCTCAGGGAAGGGGGGATAGGTCGAGTAGTCCTGATACCCGACAGGCTGATGCTGTCTCTCTTTGCCTCCAGTTGACGTGACTCTGGATCCAGACACAGCCCACCCCCACCTCTTCCTGTATGAAGATTCAAAGTCGGTTCGATTGGAAGATTCACGTCAGATCCTGCCTGATAGACCAGAGAGATTTGACTCCTGGCCTTGTGTGTTGGGTCGTGAGACATTTACTTCAGGAAGTCATTACTGGGAGGTGGAGGTCGGAGATAGAACCGACTGGGCCATTGGTGTGTGTAGGGAGAATGTGGTGAAAAAAGGGTTTGACCCCATGACTCCTGATAATGGGTTCTGGGCTGTGGAGTTATATGGAAATGGGTACTGGGCCCTCACCCCACTCCGGACCCCTCTCCGGTTAGCAGCACCCCCTCGCAGAGTTGGGGTTTTTCTGGACTATGAATCAGGAGACATTTCCTTCTACAACATGAGTGACGGATCTCTTATCTACACCTTCCCTAGCATCTCTTTCTCTGGCCCCCTTCGTCCCTTCTTTTGTCTGTGGTCCTGTGGTAAAAAGCCCCTGACCGTCTGTCCTACTGCCAATGGGCCTGAGAAAATCACAGTCATTGCTAATGTTCAGGACAGCATTCCCTTGTGCCCACTGGGGGAAAGCTCTGCTTCAGGAGACGGAGACAGTCTCCATTCTAAACTGGTATCTTTCTCACCGAGCCAAGGAGCACTCTAACACATATTCCAGCTTCCATATATGATTTTGCCTTTCTTTGACTACTCCCTCATGCCCCAAAGCTTCAGCTGCCAGCTTCTCGCAGTCCCGTTTCTTCCTGGTGGTTAGAGTCTAATTCACATTGGGAAGGTGGTATGTGGCTGCCAGACAAGGCAGAAAGAAGGGCCATCCTAGTTTGTTTCTGTACTAACATTGGGTAGGTAGAGAGCTGAATCCTAAACTGTTTCCAGTGTTCATAGTCCTTCAGGCCAGATCCTATACAGGAGGACTTGGTACAATCACCTGAGGAACAAAGAGGCAATTAGGTTGGCATGGAATTGTGGCAGAAACATCTAGAATAGGGATATGTGGAACAACAGGTTTTAGGCAAGGGAGAACAAAACCAAACCACAGGATGCTAAGAAGGGAAGATCTTGGGCTAAAATCCTATAAAGGGACTTAGAGGAGATATGACAGGCAAATGAAGTGAATTTGGTTTAATTAGATATACTTGTCCTGTCCCTGGGGTTTTTCAGTTATATCTCAATTTTTTTGTTTATTAAATTTTGTGACCACTTCATACATGTATATAATGCATTCTAATTACTCTCACTCTCCTCAATTCTGTCTTATTTCCCTCCCCTCCCTTCATCAATACCCACTTCTTGCTTCAAACCTGACCCACTGAGTTTAATGGGCTATCTTCTGAGTTCAAGAGAGCAGATATGACCGAATACAATGATTTCTCCTAGAATCAATCGGCAGCCAAAAGTTTAGCTGGGAGGGGTAGGGACACATGAGCCCCTCCCCTGTCAAGGCTAAGTGTTGACAGGGCTAGTTTTAGCACCTGTGAGATCATGATTACAAGAGCCCAGAAGAGAGGATTGCTTAGCCATTCTCCCTACCCTCTGGCTTTTATGGTCTTTTGTCCTCTCAGGATGTGTCTTGAACACTGTATCTTAAGTTTGCTAAGTCATGTTCTATAGGATAGAAGAGATTGGCCCTGCTTGTTTGAGAGCACTGTGAGCTAGCTAGCAAGAGACAGAGAGGAGTGGAGGTGAATAGGGCTGGAGAACCAGACAGGGTTATAGTAGAGGAGAAATTTTTAAACAAACCGTACAGAATATATATATATATCTCCTCCTCTTTTTTGATCTCCCTGAAAGTCAATCCAACCTCACAGTATTGACTCCACTAGATAGGGTGTCTCTCTGTGTGTGTTTTAAGATAAAGGTTTACTATGTAGCTTAGTCTAGCCTTGAATTCCTGATCCTCCTGCCTCTACCTTCCAAGCGCTGGAAACAGCCATATCCACCATGCCTAGCAAGTTCATCAGCTTTGATTCAGCATGGTTAGGTGGCATCACTGCTTTATCAAGAGCTGCATGCTCCCTCAGCCCTCACTGTAATGGTTAACCACCTCCCAGGCACCTTCAGTTCCCTTCCACCACCCTCCTTTTCCACACTGTGCCATTGCTCAATACAGCCGGCCCAGGTATCCTGCCTTCTGGTCCCCAAAGTTACATCATGATGCTCAACACAGCTGGACAGTTTGTCCCTATGTGTGTGTGTGTGCCAGTGTCCTCCTGCTTGTATGGACTTGTTTTGTCAATGGCCTGTGTGTACCCAAGCTCTTCTATTTCTATCGTATTTTCAGCTTCTAGAATGAATGCTACCAAATAAAGAAAGAGAAAGAAACGTATGTCTGTTTGCTGAAGGCAGGCCCTGAACTTTTCCTTCTTTATCCCAATGAAACGGACTGGACTAAACTGAAACAGGAATGAGCGCTGCCTGGGAAACACTGTGGCAGCAGGGCTATTCTATATGGTCCTAGCCTAGGCCTGGGAGACTTATCAGAGCAGGCAGAGCTGAAAGCTGTTCATGAGGATCACACTACCTTCAAAAAAGGCCGCTGTGCTGATGGTGTTCTGCTCACAGTCTTGTTTCAAAGGCAACTTCATTTCTGTCCCTACTAAGGTAACTTTGTTGGTGAGTAAACCCCAACATGTTGCCAGATGTACCAAGAGGGTACAGCTCCATAGGAGAGTTCCTGCCTGCCATGCACCCACCGTCGTGCGTTCCATCCCAGTACTGCTTCTGCCTCACACGTGACTTTTGCCAAGTAAATCTCCAAACATATGAAAATCACTGCAGGTTCTTTCCTCCATCACCTCATAGGTCCCCAACACCCAGGGTCTTCCTTCTCTTTTTATCTCAAATATTAGTCACCCTGTGCAGCTTGTCTTATAATGTACTCCTGGGAGAATTATACTCCTGGGAGTATAATTTATCTTTGACTTAAGAGAATTAATTTAATTGAGTGTGCTAACACACACCTGTATTCCCCAGAATTCAGAAGACAGAGGCAAGAGAATTGTCATATATTTGAAGCCAGCTTGGACTATATGTCAGTTCTAGATCGGCCTAGTCTATATAGTAGCACCTTATCTCAGTAAATAAACAAACAAATAAATAAATAAATAAATAAATAAAGTGTTCATTTTATTCAAATATTTTACTTGTAGAAATCCACAGGAAATATAGTTGAAACATCCTTTCAAAAATGCTTTGGAGGGTTGGTGAGATGGCTTACCAGATAGACACTTGGCCAAGCCTGATGACCTGAGTTCAATCCCAGGGACCCACATGGTGGAATGAATTGTCCTCTGATATCTACATGTTTGTCATAGAACATGCTCAGCCATATGCATGTACACATACACATGCTAAATATGTTAAATGCCTAGGAAAGACAGACAGTTGCATCACTGTGTTTACTGTGTGATGTGGATCCTAATATATATCTTTAAAACTTCACACCAAATTTGTGAGCCTGCAGCTCTGAGGTTAGAAAGAAAAGGGATCTCAGAACTGGGCGCAGGGAAGCTTATAATCTCAGCACTCCAGAGATGGAGCTAGGAGGACCATAAGTCCAATGCCCACCTGAGCTACATAGTAAGTTTTAAGGCCCTATCTTTAAAAGGGGGAGGGAGAGTCCTTTCAGATTTCAACCAGCTCTGTCTCTGCTTCCCTTAGACCCATTGTCTTCAAGAAAAATGATCCGTGGGCATACTGAAAGGCATTAGAGTCTTAGGGAACACCATGTGCTGATGCCCAGTATTCTGGTTCTAACCTCTGTATGTCACACCCTTAGTGACGAGGTTTATTCTTCAACAAAAGTACTTCATTTTTACAGTAATGGCAGCCTTTAAAAAGAATCAAAGATGGGTGTGAGGGCACACACCTGTAATTCTAGTACTTGGGAGGTAGAGGCAGGAGGATCAAGAGTCCAACATCATTCTCAGCTACTGCTATAGTTTAAATCCAGCTTGTGTTGTATGAGACTTTGCTTCAAAACAGAACTAAAGCATAATTTAGACCAATGTCATGAATGTTGTTGGTACATCTTCATTCTTAAAGATTTGGGCATTCACTAAAGCTTAACTCTAAAACTGTGCTCTCAAATCTGGATGCATATAGAGTTTCTCCCCATAATGAGGGCCCCTTAAAAACCCAGACAGGTTCCAGGACAGCCAGGGTGGCATAAAAAGTTCCTGTCAATAATAATAATAATAATAATAATAATTTAAAAATTCCATCATCAGGTAACACTTCCAGATATTCTGATTTAATTGGTCAGGGAAAAATTGCTCTCCTAGAGGGTTATCAAAAGTATTACCTATGAGTTTTTCTAACTTTTTGCTAATATTAGAGGGGCATTTCTCTAAAAATTATAAAAATACTATATTTTATTTAACCCAAGCAGTATTCAGGCCACACTGCCTCACAATCGTGTGGAGGGCCTGTTAGACACACAGTGTGGGGCATTATCCCCTAAGCTCGTTTAAAATTGATAAGTCAGGATAATATATATTCATGGTGTACAAAATATTCAGATGTATATTGTGGAAGAGCTAAATGAAGTTATAAACCACACCTGTTACCTCACATACTTTTATGGTGAGAACCTTGAAAATTTCTCAGCAATTGTCAAGTATGTGACACATTGTTATTAACTATAATCTTGTTTTAAACAACAAAAGTTCAGATTTAACATCTATCTGGGTATCGAAAGCTGGAAATTTTATTTACAGTGTCAGGGATTAAGCATTGTTTCATCAATGAAATACTGTACACAATAGAAGCTGTCTAGAAATAAGTGGGGAAAAAGGAAACAACAAAGAAGAAGAAAGAAAAAAGCAGTTTCTATACTAGAGTCGGCGATACAAGCCTGTGAGCTCAATGCTTCGGAAGCTGAGGCCGGCTTGGGCAATATAATTAAATTCTTAAATCTCAAAAACTAAAAGCAAGAGTAATGGTAGAGTTGGGTAGAACAGTCGTTTCTAAAGCCCACAAAGCCAGAGCGATTTGTCTGTGGTTCTTTAGCTGGCTGGATCTAACGCTGAATGCAACCAGAGCTCCAGTTTCTTTGACTTCCATTGAGATTCCAGGGAGGCTGAGACTGTCAACAACAACAACAACAACAGCAACAAATTTAAAACTTATGTCATCAGATTACACTTGATTTGCATTTGGAAAATCCTTTGTTGTCGGAGATTGCTATAATGTGCGTTGAGCGGCTTAAGGAGAAAGACAGTTTCTGGTTTTCAGTTTTGTTTTTGTCCCTAAGAAGAAGCTTTTGCCTTTGGCCAGTGGATGTGCTTGCGGGGATGTCCTTCCCGAGGGCCCTGGAGGAGCGGAGTGACAGACGGGTGAGCACTGGGGAGCCTCTGCGGCGGACCGGGAGCAGACCTGGCTGCAGTCGGGCCACACTCCTCGCCGCCCAGAAGGCGGAGGGTTCTGAGCTCTATTCGTCGCCGCCGAGGGCAGTTCACTTAGACGCAGAGACTGTCGTTTTTAAGTGACGAATCCTCAAATCTTGAATGAAAGCAAGACAAAACGAAGTTAAAGATTAGTGCAGGCAGTACAATTTTAAGGTAGAAGTAAGATCAGGAACAAGAGCAGCTCTCGTGGGTCAGGATGGCCGAGCGGTCTAAGGCGCTGCGTTCAGGTCGCAGTCTC